TTAAGGGTTATCCGAAACCCTTGCAAAGGGTGAATGCTTCGACTTCAAATTTTCCGGTCATCTGCTTTGGGGGCATCTGGCCAGTTCTCTCTAAATTAGGGTCCGTTTCTAGGTCCTCAATATGGTACAGCACCCCTTTAAACGGACCCTTAAAGAGACCCTGATCTAGAGAACCACCCACATGGTCGAATCGTGTAAAAACGAACCCCCTGAAGCACCGTAGGGTTTCGGGTAATCCGCTCAGATCTCGGAGTAAAGGCATCTACCTCATGCCTTTAGGGTCTGTGCTTCTCCAAGGTTTGGGGTTTGCGGTTGAGGGTGCTTTCTTTGGGGTTGAGGGAACTAAAGCCCCAAGCCGAAAGCCAATTTCCTCACCAGGGTTCAATGGCCCAAACTTGCCTAAACTCATGCCAACCAGCTGATGCAGTGTGCACAGCATGCGCTGAGCCCTACACCCTTATCGGTCGTTATCCCTACATCCACCCCACTTCTGAAAAGCTTTCAAACCCTAAGCCTAAACCCTAAAGCCTAGCCAGCCCTAATCTCTACACCCCATGTGTAGCCGGCATGGTTCTGGCATCTCCGAACCTGTCGCCGGCACAGGTCTATCGCAGAGCCACTTGTGCCACCAGTTCAGGTGCAGACTCAGGTGGCTTTAGGGTTTAGGGTTTAGGGTACCTGCATGGGGTTGGACAGACTTATCTGTCGTTCTGTTCGTCTGTGGGTCTGTCTTCCTCTCTGTGTCTTTGTCTCTGCCTGCGTCTCTCGGTCTGTGCCTCTCTGTCTTGTTTTCCTTGTCCGTCGCTCTGTGTGTGTTTTTGTGTGTCTCGGTCTGTTTCTGTCTGTCTGCCGGTCTGCCTGGCAGTCTGTTATGTTGTGCCAGGCTCTGCGCGGCTAGTGCTTGAGCAGAGACACAGATCTACCTGTTTGCATACCTCTTTCGTGCGTGCATCAGACATCCACGCCTCATCACATGCATACAATAAGGTGCAGCGGAGTTGAAAACTTCGGAGTTCTGAGACTATCCGACAGTTATGCCGTAGTTTGATATTTGGGAAGGCCGCGAGCAAAACACCTGCAGAAGGAGCTCTGCCGGTCCAGTCCCTACGGTACAGGGTTTAGGGTTTCGGGTTGAGATCATGGGACTTAGTAAGTAAGGTTAGAAGTCCCCTAATTGGGGGTAAGTTATAAGTATATTTACCTTAGTTATAGCCCTACTTACTAAGTCCCATGATCCTCCAAGTAAGCTTCTACCACGCTTATATCCCGAACCACCTAAAGCTTTAATGTTCAACGCCCGAATCGAACGGCAAAAGGCTGAATCCCCTACAGCCTGAAAGCCCTGCACCCTGAAGCTCTCAAGCCCTACCCATATAGGCTCCATGGTTTATAGGGTCCTAAATAGAAACCACTAAAAGGAACTATAGTGGAGCCCATGGGTAGCCCATAAGCCCCTGGAGCCTTGAAGCCTTCAACCCCCTAACCCTAAACCCTAAACCCTGAACCCTAATTTAACCCTAAACCCTAGCCTAGCGGACTTACCCGAGGACGGGCTTGACGTGACCGTCGCCTGCGCAGAAGGCACGAAGGTGCAGGAGGATCAGGAGGTGGGTTCAGGGTTTAGGGGTTCGGGATGAAGGTGTAGGGTTTAGGGCAGTTTCAGATTTCGAGACTGAGTTTTTAAGGGTTCTGAAGGCTTTGGCCTTGGAGGCATCTTGCTGCCTTCAGAAGCGTTCTACATGATCCCAATGGCTCCAGGTGTACAGCTACTAGAGACTTCGAGGTCTAAAACGGTTTAGGGTTTAGGACTTTTTCTTTAAGTCCATAGAAGAGCACACGTTTCGGGGGTTTTCAAGGGTTGTCGGTTCAGCCCTTTGTCTTGGGATCTCGATGTCAGGGTTTGTACTTTGGGGTTCAGGGTTGAGGGTTCAGGGTTCAGTGCTTCGGGATTCGGCTTTCGGTTTTAAGTCGTGATGCAGGTAGTGCTGTGTCTTATCGTTTAGGGTTGAAGAGAGTTCGGGGTTTGTAGGGGAAGAAGTTGCAGCTGTCCGCCGCTCGTTTGTCTTTCAGTACTTCAAAATAGAGACTAAGAGAAGGGATAGCAGATCTCAGCTAGCCTATTGACCTACCACACGCCACTTCAGTATACCGGCATGCCAAACAACCAGCAGTTTTTTGTGTGCAGACAGGTCCACCAAAGCCACAGACTCTAAGTTCAACCCAAGAAACTGAAAGCAGAGTTTGTTTAACACTATGGTTTTGACTTGAACTAAGACACTATAGGTTATGTTAACCAAAACTAGAACATGCCACGGTTCTGCCATGCAGCGTGATGCCAAAGTGCTAGCGGCCTTACGAATTGCTCCGCCAACGGCAGTCGGTGCTGAGGAAGGCGACGGGAGTCCTCTGCCCTGAACCAGGCCCTGCAAGCCCTTAAGCCCTAAACCCCCCAAATCCTGCACCCTGCATTAGGTTTAAGTCGGTTTAAGGTTTCGCATTTAGGATTCATGAATCCTAAACCCTAGGCCCCGAGCCGTAAACTAAACCTAAACCCCGCACCCTGAGCTATGTCGACACTAAGGTGGGCCCTATGCGACAGAACGACAGTGATGCGGAGGGGTCCAACGGCTCCCACGCCTCATCGCTGTCCAGTGCAGACCGACCTCGAAGAGTCACTTGACCGGGGTTTCCGGTTTCGGGCCCCTGGTTAGGGATCAGGGTTCAAACCCCAACGATAAAATTGTCTGCACATCGTGTTTCGGCCAGAGTCCGAGCAAGCAGGTACAGCTTCTCAGATCTATGTACTAGAATCGAAACATGGGTATTCAGACTTTTCTGTGTGTCTCCTCTTGTCATTCCAGGTAGCCGGAATTCAGATCCCAGTGTCGTTAACACCCCGCCTCTGCATCATCGTCGTGGCTAAGGTTCCCAGCAACCGCTCAGCTGAGAATAAGACAGGCAAGGGTGCTGCAGGTGCCTGGGGCAAGTATGTTTTTTGATTACAGGTACTGTTGTTTGTTTCGTTATGCTGCTGCCTGTAGTAATACTACTGTTGCTACTATCAGTGCCACTGTTGCTTTCAAAGGTTGTTGTGATGTCTCTTCTTCTTTTCCTGTCTTTGCACGATGACGACAGCTACAGCAGCTGCTGCTGCTCCTGCCATGGCTACGGCTACCATCACGACGTCTTTTTTTTTGCTACTTCTGCTACTGAAACTGCTGCTGGTACTGCAGTTGTTATTATTGTTACTGTGGTTGTCATTGCGATGCAAGTACCCGGTAACCCTCGACTGCATGGTGCATAGCTCCAGGCGCATCTCTCCAGAGTTTTGTCTAGTAGTCCAGGGGTTGCGAGCCAGGTCGGAAAGGTTGGTAGCGGTATATCAGACCATACAGTGGGTTGTTGTTTTCTACATCCTATAACCCAGTAGCCTACTACATAGTTGTTTTGGGCTAATGCGAACTCACCATATCTCAAAAGCAAACTCTCCGGGCCAGAGTACTTAAAGGGTCATGGGACTTAGTAAGTAGGGTTATAAGTTGTAACTAAGGTAACTATACTTATAGCCCCAATTAAAGGACTTCTAACCCTTACTTACCAAGTCCCATGATCCTCCAAGTAAGCAGGTTTCGACAGCCCCCCATCGCCGACCTCGGGCGCGAAGAAGAAGGGTAAGCCACGCACTCGGACAGGGTGTTAATATAGGGGCCGTAATATTCAACTATACTATTTTTGAGGGTTCCTTATTCTATGTATAGTATACTGGGCCCCAAAAGCTATTCTAACTAAACCCTAAACCCTAAACCCTAAACCCTAAACCCTAAACCCTAAACCCTAATTATTAAGACCCCTATGTTACTCCAAGGGTCAGAGGACTTCAAAAGGGCCTGGGACTTTCCGAGGCCCTTGAACGGGTTTTTGTAGGGGTTTTGGTTTGTTTCTGAAAGCATGCTGGGACACATGTATATAGATATGTATATATATATATATATGTATATATATATATATATATATATCTGGGGTTCTTGCATTGAGCTGCTAACCCGGAAAGGGCATCCGAAACGGAACAGAGTTGGACACTTTCAAGTTTCGAAGTGGGAAACTCCGAAGTTGGAAGATGGGTTTACCCATTGTAAGAGGTGCTGGAAGTCCGGGGAAGGCATTTTTCAAGTTTTCGGCTGCAGCTATAGCGCAGTCCTGCTTCGCGGTCTAATTTCGTCGTCTGGCCACAGCAGCTGGGATGGAGTCAGCTCACCTGCAAACGCACCTCGGCTGCCAAATCGATCGGCACGTTTTGAGAGAAGTGGGGTGGCCTCCGATCTGTTGGGGGTTCTGCCTTTGCAGATTTAGGTAGTAACCTGATTAAGACTTAAGAGAAAACCCTGGCGGCCCTATAACACCCATTATATCAGGATTCATACAAAGAGCCCTAACACAGACCCAAGGTTTTAAATCAGGTTTTCACAGTATGACACTGAAGGCAGGATGCAGCAACCTTCAATCTGGATTTGCTCGAGACGTTCTTCGACGCTTTGGCGGAAGCCAGCTATTACCTAGCATGGGTCGCAGGAGCGTTTGGACTCTTGCTTCTGGCCCTCATTTTGTTTGAAGTGCTGAGCACCCGAATGGGTTTCTCTGCGGGGCCCTTTTGCCACAAGATACAAAAGTCAGGCTACTATGCCGTGGCCACCACTTTCGGAGCTCTCTATGTCATGCATTTCATGACAATACCCCTTTTCGGCACACCGAGAGACGAGTTTGGCCGCTGCAATCTTCTTTTTCCGCCGCCTCCACATTTTGGGCCAGCCCCAATTGAGGCACCACCGTCCAGGAAGCTGGCTAAGGGTATGCTGAACACCGTCGCCCTGGCGCTGTCGACATACTGCGGCATCGCAGGCTTGGTATTTCTGCCAGCGTTTCTGGTCGTGAACCCGGCAGTCTGTGTCCTGATGGGCGTGTTGGTGAGTCTTAGCCGCATCACCCACCTGAGTGTGCTATCTCAGCTGAACGGCGGCGACAGCCAGCTAAATCCTGAAGAAGCAGGGGATGTGACCAAGCCTGGTGGCTCGGATGGCGGAGAAGATGTGGCCGCTCAGCATGAAGACACACCATCAGTGCAGCCAGAGGCTACGACTGCGAGCCAGATCCAGCTCAATGACCTTCGCGAGTGCATTTCAGTCTTGTTTGATGTTCTGCTCGCGGCCTTTGCAAGTTTTGGCTGCTTCGTCTTGGATGTGAAGATACTGGGGTCCATGTTGTCGACGTTCGTCTTGCGGTTGGATTTGGGCCTCCCGGACTTCTCACTGCCCGACCTCCAGCTTTTTGATGTCTCGTTGGCATTTAATCTGCCGAGCTTCCCGCGTTGGGAGGGAAGGTGTGACTCCACGAAGGCTCTGGGAAGAGTCTGGATTCTGGCCTCCGCCGTTTTCATGGTGCTCGTGATCATTTCTAGCGATATCCTCGTGTGCCTCCTGGATCGTCAGAAGCGATTGCAGATCATGAAGCTGGTCGACCAGGAGATTAGAGACCTTGGCTTTTGTGTGCGTTTGCTAGGCATGAGCCTTTGAACTTCAGCATGCATGAGGTACGCAGTCCTGACAGTAACAATGGCAGTACCATACTACAGTACCAGCTCAAGGAACAGCGAATCTTCCGAAAAGGTTCTGTAGCATCAGTCATGGTACAACAATGTCGACATGGCACTTTTTCCCTGCAGGTATCGATTGAGTGATCCCAACATTTCCAGGATGAGGATTCCTAGATGCATCCGTGTTTCAACAGTCTCTCTCCCTATATCTATGTATAGTTATTCTTTTCACAGTATGTACTTATAAATGAAACGACAACTCAACACGAAAAGATAAATGTGTGTATGTTATACACACAGACACATCGGTGCCTTTACTTGATGATGTCTCAGTCTTTTCGAGATTATGAATTTGCTCCTTATATTGCCTGCTTTAGCCTATGGCCGAATAGGATATGATATCTTCTTGCATGGATCTATGCTATGCTACATATGAGTGAAGTACTACACCATGTGTGTTTAACTATCCGCCGGGACCTGCTGACACAAATGCCTGTATGGCGGAATGGTGTCGGGTATATGTATGTGGTGCGGTTTTTCTCACGATACGGAGCCCATTGGAAAAATGCAGCAGAATGCCTGGAAGGATTAATCCTTGGCACAGGGGTTCCATAGACAGGGGCCGTTTATCTGAGAAACTGGCATGTGCATATGCGCAGTGGATGTGGTTGGTGGGTGTGGTGAGCGGATGAGTCGACTAGGTCTGTTTGCAGATTTGTAGGCAACTTTGAGGAACTAGGTGGAACTACACTTCAGCAGTCAGCACCTTTAGGCGGATGTGTACGATAGAATGTATTTCCATGTGGGTACGTGCAGATGCTATGAGTTTCGTGCTATGGCACGTTTTGCTCTGCTCCGTTCTGCAAAATATTGTGCTGCTGTTCTCTGCATCTCAACGATCCCTGCTTGGAATCTTGTGGGATTCCGTGAATCATTTTGGAGATAGATGCAGTGCAACATGTGCTGCTTGCATGACCTGTCGTGTTTTCGTGCAGCTGTCGTGAACGCAAGAGCTGGTGGCATTCACGTTTCTGCGAACCCTGTCACCACATCGTTTGTGCGGAAGGAGACATTGAAGCAGAAGAAGGCTTTGGGTGAATGCGTGGCGGAAACCAGCCTGGCCACTCGACTCGCGCGGAAGATTGCGGAGGGGATGAGTGCAGCCACTGTCTACCTCATCAACTGGGTTGTTTGCCTTGTTGCATCACAGGCTGCTTTGGTGCTTGTGGAGGTAGTCTTGGACACGTTTGAGAATCTCAGCATCGGCCTACTACATAACTTTTCCACCTTGTAGCAATAGGAGTGCCTGTCACGAGCGAAATGGTCGAGACAGCCAAGGAATCGTACCCCTTTTCAAAAGACCCACTGCAGTGCCCCTGGGGCATCTTGATCCTGTCGAAGGTCGTCTGACTCAGATAACAAGTCTGCGCTTCTGACATAAAGCCGGACTTGCTTGGGCAAGTACATTGAGACACGCGAAATCTAGGAGAGGGGTTCCATTCGAAGGTTGGGACCGATTCGTTGTGTATACGGCCCTTCAGAATTAGAGTGGGGCTTGGGCATATGTGATACTATAATTGTAACAGGGAGCCCCAAAACCTTATTCTAACTATTAAGGCCCCCACATTAGGTGCAAGTCGAACTAAGCCACAAGCCGTACGAGTCCCTGCCATGAACACAGTGAGCGGCTCGAGTTGCAAGTTGCTGCAGATTCAGGGTCGTAGCTCCACCTCTGAGACCCTTTAAGTTTTAAGGTTTAGGTTTTAGGGTTTGGGGTTTTTCACTACCGGTCGGAATAAGCCAGGAGTTGCTGGTTTGTATTCGCAAGGCATTTGTTGCGTGTCTCAGGTGGGTCCAGCCGTCGTGGGGGTTGGGCCGGCCAGGTTGTCATCCTGCTAACCAGTGTCGATTTCGGACCCTCGGGTCATCACCGCGGAAAAGAGGGATTTTGATGCCAATTCTCCCACTGGGCCTCAGCAAGGACGATGTGGAGAAAGCCCGGACTAGAGCCAGCAGGAGCACCTTCCAACAGAACATGGAGAGGTATTGGAGCTGCACGTAGTTTTTTGTTGCTCGAAGTGTGACCATGAGGGCTCGACATATATCATATATCGCTGAAATATGGCCTCCACATCCGACTTGCTATGTAGACTGAAGGTACATGGAGAAGCGCTCAGATACCCGTCTCGCGCAGCTCGTTGGAGGCGCCGATATTGATGCGATTGACGTCAACGCAGAAAACGGAGCGTCAGAAAGCCTGAGACATCCGAAACCTTTCAACATCAAGAGCCAAATCATTCTGGCCGTGTATGACATGGCATATGACGAAGAGAAGATGATGCCAAATGGGCGTTCCGAAGCTGAGAACAGGCTTTTTGCGACAAGCGTGAACAATTTCACAGTGGAAGAGTTTTCTGATTGCTTTTTGAGGATGCACAGTGAACTCGAGAAGGACTCTATATGGGGAAAGCTGCGCACCATGTGCTTCTTGCCATTTGGAATCTTGGGGGCTGCAGAGGCACGAGATGTCAGAGCAGCCGAAAGGAGTTGCATATGGAGAGCGCAACTGGAATCTGTATATCAAGCTACATGCAACTGGACAGTGTAGAGACACGATGTTTGTTTATAGGGTTTATGATCCTAAACAACAGCGACCATGATGCTTATTTTCAGAGTGACAAGAGCAGAGCAGCGAAGGCAATTCTATCGGCATCAGCCTTTTTCTGATTCCACTGGCGGGGCCTTTCCTCGGAAAAATCTGCCACATGTTCATGGGCTTCCCTGGTTGTGTCTACGCAGAGGGAACCATTGCGCGATACAGCTTTTTCGCTACAATGCCTGATCCTGAACCTAGAATGCAGATCAGGCTAAACCCTGAGCCCCAAACCTTCCAACCCCCAACCCGGCTGGAAGATCAAATTTGGACAGCCCTGAACTTAAGCCACAAAGCCTGAAGGAAACTGGCAACGACGCTGTTATTTTGGAAGTTGGTTTCTGGAGTCGAGCGTCCTACGGCCTCTGCTACCTGCGTGTCGCTTGCGCGGGAGCGGCTGTTGCACTGAGCCCAAGTATGCCAGATGGCTGCGCGCCGGAATCTGAAGGGTTGAATTGAGGTGGTTTGCGACTCGAGAAAAATCAGGTCCGAGGAAATTGCCCGCACTGGCCCTAGAAACCGACGCCCTAAACCTCACCTGTAGCCCAATAATCCTGCCTCTTTAAGGCTTATATAAGGAAGCCAATAATAAGGAAGCCGAAAAGGTAGGTTTCTTGGCATTATAAAAGCAACCCCTGCACGTTAGTGCCAAAAGCATCGCTACCAGGCAGGGCCACCATTTTGCTCGGGATTTGCTCGGCCATTCTCGCACTGGGCCAGAAGTTTTTTCTGGAGCGGGGACTTTTGGGGGAGAGGTTGGGTTCTGGTACTAGTCACGGGTTGGAAAGCCGCCTGCCTGCCTCCAAAGCATGAGACACGGTGAAACCCTTTATGCCCCAGGTTCCAGACCATAACCTAGCTAGGCTGAAGCTTCAAAGCCCGGCAGAAAGCCCGGCAAAACCCTCTCAGAAAACCGCTTCCCGACTGCGGATAATCACAGACTGGCTGGATGTCTCAAAGGGTGAATCGGTCTGGACTTCTTGCGGGGCTTTAATGAGTTCCAAGATGGGGAGCAAATTGAGCCACAAGTTGCTTTGTGTGTGTCCGAGTCCATCCCAAAGTCCTGAAACCCTGAAATATGACGTCTAAGCTACACTGCCTCAAGCCTACACGTGCCAAGCATGCAGGAGTGGGCCTACCTCGAGCGCATCCGCCGGTTTATAGCTCCAAAATTTAGAGCCACGGAGTGAGCTGCATGAAGCGCTGGACAGAGCACCGATGCACAAAATTAATGCAAGCTTGCAGATCACAAGTTTGCAGGAAGCAGTTTGTTGGAGCACCAGCCCTGCTGCTCTCTTGCAGGGTGTCCATGAATCCGTGGCTTTCACGTGTAAAAGGCATACAGCGGTCAAACTGCTTTCGAAGCAAACTCTCAGCCTTTCGATGCCTTCCACGAAGATTCATTTGAAGCATGCGGAATTCCGACTGCTCACCCGGATTGGGCTGCTTGCAATGATTTAACAGTTATCAAAGACGCATGATCTCTCAAGTAGGGCTCAGAGTTGGGCTCAAGAGGCTTTGAGGATTTCGGGAGTCGGACGTTTGGGTTTGGTTTAGGGCTTAGGGTTTAAGGTTTAGGGTTTAGGGTTTAGGATAAGAGGCCGACAACCATGAGCCCCCGATCCCCTAAACCTGTCCGTGTCTTCGAGCGTTTTGCCTCAGAATCGGGGCCCCGAAACCCAAGACCCTGAAGCCGACCAAACGCTTTATGGCCGAAAGTTTGGTAGCATTAAACCCTTAGCCCTAAACTCTAAACCCTATAAAACCCTGGTAGCCCTAAACCCTAAACCCTGGTAGCCGTAAACCCTGAACCGTATAAAACCCAGGTAGCCCAAAACCCAAAACCCTGCTAACCCTAAGCCCTATATGGTCCTGAAGGCCCCCAAACCTAAACCCCCAAATCCCTAAACCCCGAAACCTCGAAGGTCTATTTCCTCGTAAACCCTACGCCCCTGAACCTCGAAGATTTACGTAAACCCTAGACCTCTACCGGTTTAGGGCTTAGGGCTACAAAGGTTTAGGGTTTAGGGCTTAGGGCTACCAGGGTTCAGGGTTTAGGTTTTCATGAATATCGAAGCCTGAAGAACCACCGCTATTCTTCCTGAGGGCTTCTTATTCTACCTCTCCCAGACATGATTCCCGAAAGCCCCGCTCCAACCAGAAAGGCACCCCGGGGCTACTTAAAGGCTCATGGGACTTAGTAAGTAGGGTTATAATTAGGGTAACTATACTTAAAACACCAATTAAGGGACTTATAACCTTACTTACAAAGTCCCATGATCCTCCAAGTAGGCCCTAAACCATCGGCCCCCAGGCGCCCAGTCGTGAAATCATCGGAGCAACCTGGTGGACCATTGTCCATCGCTCCTCGGCTGGCAGGGTTCCGTTACAGGTTCTATATATAGATATGGGGGGTTCCGAAAATAGGGGACCCTAATATAGTACCCTAAATAGTAGGATCCTTATTATAAGGATTTTCGGAAACTCCCATATATATATATATATATATAGATACACATACACATGGGTTTAAGGGTTCTATAAGCATTCCTTTAGGGATCCTGCAGGCATCTGTATGGGTCTAGGGTTTAGGGTTTGGCGGGTTTTGAGCTTTGAGGTAGAAACTTATGGTCTTGGGGTGTGGGCTTGAGAGTTTTTGGTTCGTCGAGGGTTCAGGGGTTGAGGGTTCGAGTCTTTAGGGTGCAGGGATTCGGGTTCTAGGACTTGTGGCCCAGTGTTTGAAGGAGACAGTGGCTTGCTCTGGCAGTGCTCCAAGGTAGTATCGAGGCTCGATACGGGTTTAGGGGTTTAGGGTTTGGAGTTTTTAAGGGTAATCGAGGTCCTAAAAAGTCCATCGTCTGATAGTTCAGGTCTGTATGGTGACCGTAGCCAGGGTTTTGCAAAGTGCTGCTTAGGATGCCAAGGGCGGACCAGCGTGGTTAGGTAGGCTTTAGGATTTAGGGCAGTTTAGGGTTTAGCCACAGGTAGCCCAAGGTGGGCAAGGTGGAAATATAGACACTGGGTTGGGGCATTTTCAGGCCGAGGCGCTTGAGATGTTTTATGCCGGTGTGTGGGAAATCAGGCATCCAGAGTTCTTGAATAAGCTGACCTGAAAATAGCCCCGGGACGGTAGACCATGACACATCATCAGTATCTATCACAGATAGTTCCTAGGCCCCGGAGAACTCGAAAGCATGAACAAGCTCCTAAACCCGCACTAGGCCCTGAAACTTCGGTGCTCTTTTCCTCTGTACGTCCGGTCCAAGCCACAATTCCCATAGCTTGAGGTCCTTAAACCTTAGACCCTAAACTTCAAAGTTAACTTAAGGTAGTGCAGGATTTTGTACACTAGACGTGTCAGGACAGTCCGCTGCAGCACTTCTTTGATGCCCGGCTGATCATGCGGCCCGAGTCGGTCTTCAAAGTCTTTCGGCCGAGAAGCTTTCCTTCACGGGTCCTTTTCCGGCCTCGTCTGAAGGTTCCTTTCAGGTTCCTTTGAGGGTCTCCTATACTATTTTTGGGCCCTTAGCATAATTATAGTATAATGGGCCCCAAAGCCCTATTCGAATTATCAAGGCCCCTACATTAGAACCCTATTATAGATCCCTTATGAAACCCCTCAAGGATCCCTTTATGTAAAAGAACCCTATTCTAATTATGAAGGCCCCTACATTAGAACCCGATTATAGATCCCTTATGAAACCCCTTAAGGATCCCTTTATGTAAAAGAACCCTAGTCTAATTATGAAGGCCCCTACCTTAAAGCCTACGCCCTCGACCTGACAGCTTTGTTTACCCTAAACCCTAAACCCTAAACCCCTAAACCCTAAACCCTAAACCGCCTTGAGGTGAGCAGTGACGAGCTCCTCTCTGTTGTAGTGCACGAGCTGCACCAGCGATGCCTCTGGGCCTAAATCATTACCACTATTTTTGTTGTAGGGCTCCCCGTTTAGAATTATAGTAGAATATACCCCAAAACGCTATTCTCAGTATTGAGGCCTGGGGGCCTGCGTGGTGGAGTTTGAAGATGGGCGGCTCGAGTTCTTCGACTGTGCAGATTTCAACTCCCTCCTTGCTGCTTGGATCGCATCCTACAACTGCTGCACCGGGCACGGGGGGGGGGGGCGCGGGGGNNGGTGGGGGGGGGGGTTTGGAGACGTCGTCCGAGAGAGGGGTGAGAGGGAGGGAGGAAAAAAACAGCCAGTCGGTGGTCTGCGGATTCAGAGACTTCCTTCAGACCGAAGCGTACACCCTCAGTCCCGGATGATAGACCTCCCAAGGTGAGTGCATTGGCAAAGAGTCGGGGTGCTGTCGGGGACGATGCCGATGAGGAAGTCGAGTGGAAGGCTACCAAGTCACTGCTTCGGAAGATAGCGAATGTGCCTGTGCGCTCTCTGGTGACTTGGCAATAATCGTAGGCTAGCATATCTTTAGGGTTTAAGGTTTCGTTTTTTTGGGTCATTTACCTTTTAACTGCTTGCTACACTCCAGCATACTCCAACTGGCAAGCGCTACTTGAAGCCGCTTCCAACTAAGTCGGAGTGCGAGTCTACAGCCATGGATCTGCCAGTGCTTGGATGTTCAAGTCTATTTCAAGTCCCTTTATGAAGGTCTCGATAAGTCGTAGCAACACTATCCCCTCACAGTCCTTACATCAACCCCTCGTGATCTCTCTTTGAATCCCTCACCGTCCCTGTATGCTTCCCCCATGGTCCCTATATGGACATACCCTAAACCCTAACCGTTTCGGGCCTCCGCTACGGCGTGCTCTTGTCTTGGGGCCGTGCACTGATTCACTCCTGCATGGGCCCCGGCTCTAAAGGCAAATCCCCCACGTGGAATCTGCAAACATGGGAGCTATACATATAGATATACACACATACATATGTATATCCAGTATATACCTGTATATAATTGTGTGTGTGTATATACCGTCTATCCCCTCTCCGGCTTGTAACGTGCTGATACTGCTGCACAACCGAGAATCCCATTCCAAGTGTTCAGATCCGTATCTTGGCGAGATGAAGACTCGCCCGGGAACCGGAAATCCAGAATCCAAAGCCCTACTGAAAGGTTTAAGGTTGAGGGTTCAGGCTTTAATGTTGATCAGGACTATATCCCTCGTGGCATGGTCGCGGGAAAATCCCGAAGCACCCGATTCTGCCATTGCCAGACGAAGCCAGGTAAGCAGAAAGAAGGCACAGGAAAGGGTTCGCCAAATGGAGGAAGGCACTCGAGAGGTGCAGGCTTTGATTACCCAGCTCCGTCAACGCGACAGAAGCAAGGACTGGCAGCTAGAAGTTTTGGGGGAGGACATGGAGCAAGGGTTGGTGTGTTTCTCTTGCGGTTTCTACGCACGCATATTCCAAAAGAACAAGGAGGAGATCGCAGAGCATGGCCTCCGGCTCGCGTGTGATGCCACCTATTGCCGAAGTTAACACCTTTGACATCTCCATTGC